ATGCAAGTGAGAACAGGGACCCCTGCAATATGGGAAACAAGTGAGGCAGTTGCTCCAGACATCATGCAAGTGAGAACAGGGACCCCTGCAATATGGGAAACAAGTGAGGCAGTTGCTCCAATTTGCTGCCTTGACCCAGTTCCCAGGCTACTGTGAGGGAGAAGGGATGGAACCTAGGTTGGATTCAGTGGAGTCCTTGAATTGAAGAGGTCTATTTGGAAGTATATAAAGAAGAATAAAGCTACAGGTAACAGGGAAGAGTTCTGGGGAAGAAAGAACTGCACACAGAGAGAATGGTCACAATCTTCAAAGGATCCTCAAGTGATGAGTGTAACAAATGAGGAAGCTACATGAGGTAGGGGGAGAAACTACAGTACCCTAAGGATTAAAAAAGAGAGTATCCAGCTCTCACATGGGCCTAAAGAATAGACATTCTACCAGCCAGAAAAGGAAAAAAAAACATAATTCATGAGGCTTCAATCAGAATACTCAAAAATCTTTCTTCAGTTGTGAATCAAAACTAGTTCTAGACCAAAATTTGTTCTGGTTTGTGCTAACAGAGCCCCCAAAGGTCAAATTGTTTCCAAGTAACTTACATGCATTCAGAGAAAAGATTAAGAATATTTGCAGAATTAAAACTAAATTAAATATAGTATCTAAGCAAAATCCAAAATGTGTGATATACAATAAAAATTTTCTAGAAATGAACATAAGTAGAAAATATAACCATAAATAGGATGAGGAAAGAAATTAATCAGTCAAAATTAGCAAATTAGAAAAAAAAAACATTCAATCATTAAAACTGAATACCATATATTCAAAAACATAAGTAGAGTCATAGAAGACATTCAGAAGACAAGGAAAACTGCCAAAGATGAAAAGGTAGATTGATGGCATCAAGGGTAGATTATTACTGCATAAAGAAAAAAAGCTGGATTTGCTTCATTAAATTGAAAGATTCCTGCTGAATATATTGCAGCATACACTATAATTTTTATAGCATTTTAAAAGTTCCATGATAAATGCCATGAGGAGTTAACTTTGATTCATTCAATTGAATAGGCTGTACCTATCTAATAAGCATGTGCCCACAGAACTTCTGAAGGAGTTTTTGGAATATACAAAAGGTGCTGAATATGCACATGTAAATGAGCATGAACATACATAGATGAGTAGGTAAACTCTGTAACCAGGAGACCACCTCTTGCACATAGTCAGTATAGGGCTAAATTACCAGGAGAGCTTTCAGAAAGAAAGAAAATCACTTTATTTTTTCATCTGCCTGCCTAACCTAGGAGGACCTTTTAGATGCAGGGGAAGGGGAATTAAGAAGTTCAAAAAAGGTAGTGTCCCTGAGCATCTAGAGTATAATTATCTGCAGATACCTCTGGAACCAACTAGAGCCTCAATTCCTGTGAACCTGACCCCATGCTTCATCTCTTCTGTAAGGGAATCTTGGTACAGGATGCTGTACTGAGTTTTACCAGAAGACAAGACACCTATCTCAATCTGTTTTTCTTTCCGGAGTCAGTACTGCTGAAGTAGTCTGAAAAGGGAGAAATACAGACCATCTCCTCATCAGGTTAGGAGGGACAAGTGGGGATCTGTGCTCTGGGACCTTCTCTATTTGTCCTCCTCTGGGCACGTTGTAGCACCAGAAATATAAAAGCTGGAGTTTGTCCAAAGGAGATTAATAGCAGGTAGAAGAACTAAGAAGTGAATCATCTGGAGCCCAGTTAAGAAAATTTGGAGATTTCAGCTACAAATATAGAAATTTAGGGGTTGTAAGACAAAGAATCTGCCTCTAAAAATCTTTGATCATTGGGTAGAAATTACATTTGGTCTATGTAACTTCACAGGCAGAGGACAAAGACCACAGCTGGGTGGCAGTAAAAAAGTAGTAGTTGAGCAAATTTCAGCACAACCCAATCAATGGGTAAAAGCTATTGCTGCCAAAATCAAAAAATTGTACCCAGAAAAGCAAGGAGCTACCTATCACTATCTGCACTCAATAGTATCTGGAATTACATGTGTAATGTCTTCCATGCCTGAGTTTTATCCAACTAGGTGATCCCTCCAACAACCTTTCCACTTCTTAAAACAAGGCTTCCTTGGTGCCATGCTGTGGGCCTGCCATGCAGCCTGGGGAAAGGCTTGGGCTTCAAGGACTTTGTTTTGATTTTAGACTTTCAGCTTCCCTGGCTTCCTCATGCTGTCTCTGGCTGGAAACACAAAACACAAGATCTTAGTCCTCGTCACCAGTTCAGCCTCTCGCAAATGATTAGTTACATCACGGGTAAAGTATATTTCATTTTTTTATAAGATTGATGGGCAAGCATATTTTTGTGTAATTATTTTCAAGGCCTAAAGGGGTTCTGGAAATTAATTGTATCCAACCTTCTGTGTAAAGTGGGATTAGGATTAGAATAGTACAGCATGGTTGCCTACCAATCCAGATTGCAAACCAAAATTAAAAGAGGAGGGGAGGCAAAAGGACAAGTGCTTTGCTTCTAGGGCTAAGTAAGTCATTCAGAGCTTTTTAGATGACTTATGAGTGAAGAACATGCAGAAATGTTCAGATAAAGGAGAAGTAAAGGAATGGGAGACAAAATAAACTTATATTTCTTATATTGCCCTCAGAAATGCCATGCTAGGCTAAAAATAATTAAGGGACAGAAATTAAAAAAAAAAACAAAAAACATATTTCTTCCCCTAGGCTTCTCCACAAATATAGCTAAATTGCCAGTCCTTCCTTTTGACTTGGACTTCTATTTCTTACACATTTGAATCCTATTAGTTAAACCATAGAAAAGGCATAATATCACTGAATCTGAACTTGCACAGTGAAAGACAGACAGATAAAGTAGTCAGCTTAACCCACCAACTTCAGATCATTATGAGTCACAAATGAAACAATTTGTTTAAAATTGATTTTGGACTTGCCAAAGTCATTGCTAATATACTCTATTATTAGCAAGAGAAAAAGACTTGCGAGATTTTCTAAGTATCAGACAGGAGAGCCACATCTATCAGACTTGCTTGGGGAAGCAGAGGTGAAATGGGGAGACCAGGGAAGGAATGTCCATCCTCCCTCCACATAGAGCAGCCAGTATCACTAAAAGTCTCCCAAATAAGAAGAATCTGAGATGAGCCAGCTGACAGGATTGGAATGGCATTTGGGGAAAAAGAAATACATAACTGGACAAATGTACTATTTGAATCTCTTGAAAAAGGTATGCCTCTACCAATGTGACAATATCACACAGTTTGGGGTCTACAATATAATTACAACTTCCTTGTCACCCTAACTCTGCCAGAAACTATTCCTTCTTTAAAAGTTTCCATTTTTAAAATGATTAGTTACATCATGGGTGAAGTATATTTCCTTCTTTATAAGACTGATGGGCAAGCACATTTTCCTGGAATTATTTGCAAGGCCTAAAGGGGTTCTGGAAATTAATTGTATCCAATCTTCTGTGTAAAGTGGGATTAGGATTAGAACAGTAGAGCATGGTTGCCTACCAATCTGGATCTTGAGCTCTCAGTTCCTTATTTATAATGTATATTTGATAATCCTTGATAATAAGATATATTTTACTAGATATTGATGATTAAATGTTATAAAGTTCTAGAATAATTGAACACATTTCCCAGGAAATAGAAAGGGTTCCAAAAATAATTATATAATTTTATGTTATATTGGTGAGCCTAATGAAAATGAAACAGGGCAGTTCTTAAATACTCAATGGAAAAGAGCTTCTAAATCCACAAAATAACACCTTAATAGAGATTTCTGTCCCAGTAAACAGACTTAAGTACAAAGGCCTATATGATTTGAAAGGCCTGACTAATACATTTGCCAAGCTGCAGCATTCTTTGGGATCTCCTTAACAAATTTCTGTACAATTCTTTTTTATCCAGCCTATCCCTCAGGTCAGAGTTAGCCATCACTCCTGCACATATAATTATTGTTGTTCATGTTGTTTGTTCTCATTAGTACCCATCAGCCTCCAGACTCATTTTAGTTTTACTCCTGCACAGTAAGAGTGTTTCTTATTTAATTTGTGACCCTGGCACCTAATGGAAGGCCAGTGAAAAGACTAAATAAAAAGAAAGTAGTGGCAATATTGAACTGCTGTCTGGAGGGTGAGAAACATGTACATGGATCATTATATTCAAAATAAAAAAGGAGCATGAAAAAGGGATGGAAGGCTGGAAAGGTGGGCTCTAGCACCCCCGCACCATTGCAATCACCAGATTTCCACTTGTTCAATGACACTTAACTGTAACTGTGTGAAATTGCTCATTCACTTTAAACTTGTTTCTTCCAGAAATTAGCTATTCTCCAAATATGAAGATCCATCTAAGAAGTAGATGGGGGGGGGGGCAATTATGTGGTAGGGTCCATTTTACCAAATAAAAGTGATCTCATAGAATATTGGAAGTTAACTTTATTTTTAGTATATAATAAATAAAAATCTCTAATTAAATCAAAATAAATTCAAATAAAATCTCATAATGCAAATTGCATGGGAACTAGGGGCATTTATCTGTGCCCCTTTTATGTCAGGCTCTACTAGGCATACTGTGAGAGTTAAATTGCAGATATGATAGTTTATGTGGCTATGAAAAAGAAAACAGGAAAAATTTATAGATACATATTGAGAATCGCATCTGTCCCCAAAGTATTTCCTAAGTAATTGTTTTCCTCTTAAGTTTCTGAAAGTACCCAACAATTCTATTAAAAGCATAAGTTGAGTAAATCAAGCCCATAATAAATCATATTATCTCAGTCCTCTGCACTGTGTAATGTAATAGGAGTAACCCAACTAGTATGGCATCATGCATAAGCAGACAAACAACAATGGCCTGGATATACTGCCACAAGTTGTGTCCATGTAAAGAAAGTTTTTTTATCTTCATGTACTTACAGTCATTAGATGATTTTTTCCTCATTTTACAGATCACTAAAAGAAAGTTGTAAAAATTCATTACTAAATATGACGGCACACCAAAATGACACTGACCCCAGTGGAATTTCAGACTTCCTTCTGAATTGTTTTGTCACATCTCCTGGTTGGCAACTCTGGCTGTCCCTGCCCCTCAGTCTCCTCTTCCTCCTGGCCATGGGGGCCAATGCTGTCCTTCTGATCACCATTCGGCTAGAGGCCTCCCTGCATGAGCCCATGTACTATCTGCTCAGCCTCCTCTCCCTGCTGGACATTGTGCTTTGCCTCACTGTCATCCCCAAGGTCCTGGCCATGTTCTGGTTTGACCTCAGGCTCATCAGCTTCTCTGCCTGCTTCCTTCAGATGTATATCATGAATAGCTTTCTAGCCATGGAATCCTGTACATTCATAGTAATGGCCTTTGATCGCTATATAGCCATCTGTCATCCACTGAGATACCCATCCATCATCACTGACCAATTTGTAATCAAGGCTGTCATTTTCATTGTGGCCAGGAATGTCTTCTTATGTATGCCCATCCCCATTCTCTCAGCACGACTCTATTACTGTGGGAGAAATGTCATTGAGAACTGCATCTGTGCCAATATGTCTGTCTCCAGGCTCTCTTGTGATGATGTCACCCTCAATCGCCTTTATCAGTTTGCTGCAGGCTGGACTCTACTGGGATCTGACCTTATCGTCATTTTCCTCTCTTACATCCTCATACTGCGAGCTGTGCTAAAACTCAAGGCTGAAGGTGCTGTGGCCAAAGCCCTCAGCACTTGTAGTTCCCACTTCATCCTCATCCTCTTCTTCAGCACCATTCTTCTGGTCTTTGTCCTCACACATGTGGCAAAGAGAAAGGTCTCTCCTGATGTGCCAGTCTTGCTCAATGTCCTTCACCATGTCATCCCTGCAGCCCTAAACCCCATTGTTTATGGGTTGAGAACCCAGGAGATCAAGCAAGGAATCCAGGGATTACTGAAGAAAGGGTGGTAACAAGGGCAACTGACTCTCTGCTTTCCTAATGTAGGATGACTTGATAATCAGTTGATGGAAAATTGGGCTGAGACCCATAACTTGGAGACAAGATTTTAAAATAAAGGTAAGTACTAGTTCTGAAATAAGTTCCTGACTCCTTACACTTTAAACCCAATAACTTCTTCCAAAACACACACGCAAAAAAAGAAAAAAAAAATTCCAACATCTTTGTGACCTTTCAATGATTCCCTAATATTTATGATACTATTTTTTCTAAAATATAAGAACTCAAGAAGATGAATACTATAGTAGAGAAATAACTCCCAGTTAATACTAAACTTACATCTTTAAACATTTAATTAAAAAAAAATAAAACTGTGGATACCAGTGGCCTTGATAATAACTTGCTATTATAAAGATTACTATTGTTATCCCATCTGCATAATGCAATTTTGAAGACCACAATAGTTTAAATGTCAGCATTGACAGTGGTTAGAGTGCATAATCTCTTTCATTTTCCTCTAACCAGACCAATACCTTTTTCTCCCCCTCCTCTTTTTCAAGCAAAGCCCTTTTTCTGTTGGCGCAAGCCTCAATGGAATAAAGCTCTTGTAAAAATTAAGGACCCATGGGGTAATGAGTTTTTCTGGGTTAGAAGGAATTACCATAGAGAGCCTTCTCCTTAATGTCTTTGCGCCACTGTCTGTGCTTGAAGTTCACGTGCAGGATTCACAGTGACTTCACTTGTGATCTGTGGACAGGACTCTACTGCAGCATTCTCATATGTTACAATATCAGAAATCACCCTAGAAATGACAGTTAAATATACTAGGGTCTATTACCAATGGAACACAGGTTTCATAAAGCAACTTCTTCCTTCCTGGAACTTGGTTAGAGAACTTGGTAAGTATAAAGACACATAGAACAATTGGCAATCATTGAGAAACTCATATGGTATTTAGACAAAAATATAAAACAAGCTGGGACCTATGATCATTAAAGAATATTTTATCCTGTGTAAAAAGACAGGAAAAAATGGGGTACAAATCCAGACACAGTGGTGCACACCTGTTATCCCAGATGTGTGGGAGGATGAGGGGGGAGGATGGCAAATTCAAGAGCAAAACAGTTCATCAAAATTAAGAGAAATAAAAAATAGGTACATACACATTCAGAGAATGACTCAAATAAGAGAAAACCTGAGATGTTAGATGGTGAGTTCCATGTTCTGCATTGTGGTGCTTGGAAAACCATAGGTGACTTCTGTGGCTAAGAGGAACCCAGGAGTATCACTCACCTCAGGATGCTCGTCTTTAACATGAATGCCGAAAACTATTTTTTTTAAATGGCAGAAGACTTTCTTACTAGCTTTCTGTATGTTAAACAGGCTCACAAGGAACTACATTTAAATCCAGGAAAATTTACATTTTAATTACTTTTATCAATGAATAATAAAAAATAATAACATTATAATAAGCATTAATTGTTTAAGTTAGGAGTTAAGGAAATAATTGCATCCTAATTTTTATGTCTTAAGTTAAATCTTGCCTTCAACAGTTTTTCACAATTCTATACATCAATATCTGAAGACATAAGATATGGAATACTTCATAACCTAACATTCAGTAAGGAACAGATATAGAAAATCTCATCCTTTGAACAATGGAACACATGGAGAATGTTAAAATGAAGGATTTGTCAGTAACTTTTTAATGTACATTTATTTTATTTATTTATTTTTATATGGTGCTGAGGATCAAACCCAGTGCCTCCTCACACATGCAAGGCAAGTTCTCTACTGCTGAGCCCCAGCCTCAGGCCTGATTTGTCAGCAACTTTAACATTGCCAGGAATTAGCCACTCTTCTATGTGCATCTGACAGATATCTAAGGAAAATTTCACTAGAGAGTGATCAAGGAAATATTGATCAAAATTGCAAAGTGTCCACAGCACATCAGTAGCCCTGCTAGCCAAATTTTGGGACCAGCTATTTCGTTGTCCAATACATATTCAATACCTGATAAGTGTCACACATTTTTTGTGCTGAGTATAGGGTCATGAACAAGACAAGATATATGTATATTCTGAAGGGAAATTTAGGACATTAAGTAAGGAAACAAATTTTAAAATTACTTCAGAACATAGTACATGCTATAAGAAAGAAAAAAAAGATGTTATAATCTATCTTTCTATCAGAAAAGCCAGAAGAAGGACACTTTGCGGTAATTTCATTCTTCTTCATAATTGAGTAAAGCTCCATATGCCAAATTTTCTTTATTCATTCATCTGGTGACTTGCATCTTGCCAGTAAATAGAAGGAACTGGAGAACATCACACTAAGAGAAATAAGCTAAACTCAGAAAGTCAAGGGTTGAATATTTTCTCTCATATGTGTAAGGCTGAGAACATAAGGAGGGGATGTGGGCAAGGAAGACACAAGAAAATGGAAGGGAAATTCAGTGGTGTAGATAAGGGAAGGGGTGGAAAATGGGAGGAACTGTGTAATTAAGTTGACCAAATTATTCTGTTTGCATGTGTGAATGTTTGCATGTGTGAATGTACCATGGTGAATTCCACCTTTATTTACACCTATAAGTATTAAATTATAAAAAAAACAATAAATTTGTGTTGGGGGGAGGCTATGGGAATAAGAAATGGAGATGGGGAGGGAGAAGGAAAAAGAGTGAAGAGATATTGTGCACGTAAATGGAACAAATTATAATCTATGAATGTGTGGTTATATCAAAATGAACCCCACAATTATGCACAGCTAATTTTTAAAAGGCCAATTTTCATGTGATTATTAAGAATGTGATCTTTGTCTAGTACAATATAATTATTTATATGGGTTTGTCTCTGTGTCTTCTACTCTGCACCACCCATCTACATTTCTGATTTGGTGCCAATACTATGGCACTTTTGTTACTATAGCTCTGTAGTATGATTTAATGTCTGGTATTCTGATGCTTCCTATTCACTTTTCTCTCTAAGGACTGCTTTGGCTATTCTGGGTCTTTTAATTTTCCAAATGAATTTCATGAGTGCTTTTTCTATTTCTGTGAAGAACATTATTGGAATTTTAATAGGAATTGCATTAAATCTGTATAGTTCTTTTGGTAGTGTGGCCATTTAGACAATATTAATTCTGCTTATCCAAGAGCATGGGATATCTTTTCTTCTTCTAAGGTCTTTGCTTAATTTCCCTTTCAGTTGATTGATCACTGATGTATAGGAAAGCATTTGATTTATGAATGTTAATTTTATACACTGCTACTTTTCTAAATTCTGGTGGAATTTTTTGGGTCTTCTAAATATAGAATCATGTCATTGGCAAATAGTGATAGTTTGATTTCTTCTTTTCACATTCATATCCCTTTAATTTTTTTTGTGTGTCTAATTGCTCTGACTAGTTTCAAGGATGAGGTTGAATAGAAGTGGTGAAAGAGGGCATTCTTGTCTTGTTCTAGCTTTTAGAGGCAATGCTTTCAATTTTTCTCCATTTAGAATGATGATGTCGTTGGGGTCTAGCATTAACAACTTTTACAATGTTGAGGTCTGTTGCTAGTATCCCTAGTTTTTCTAGTGTTTTTAACATGAATAGGTGCTATATTTTCTTAAATGCTTTTTCTGAATCTATTGAGATAATCATGATATTGTTGTCTATAAATCTATTGATGTGATGAATGCTTATAGCAGCTCAATTTACAATAGCTAAACTATAAAACCAACCTAGATGCACTTCATCATATGAATGGATAAAGAAAATTGTTGAATATACACAATGGAATATTACTCAGCCATAAAGAGAAATGAAATTATGGCATTTTCCAGTAAATGGATGGAACTAATACTATCATACTAAGTGAGTAAGCCAATTCCCAAAAACCAAAGGCCAAAAGTTCTCTCTAATATGCAGATGCTAACACACAATGGGGGGTGGGGAATAGAAGTACTTTGGATTAGAAAAAAGGAAATGAAAGAAAGAAAGGAGGATTGAGATTTGGAAAGTTAGTAGAATCAATCAGACATTACTTTCCCATGCTCATATATGTTTATATATGAATACACAATGAATGTAATTCTACATAATGTACAACCAGAAAAATGGGAAGTTGTACTCCATATATATATATATATATATATATATATATATATATATATATATATACTCAAAACACATTCTACTGTCATATACAAATAAAACAAAAAAATTTTAAAAGAATGTAATTTCTGTGAAAATTATTTTTGAACTAAAATTATGCATATTGGATGTTGATCATTTGCACAAAAAGAGTAAATCTGTGTCAGTCATTTAGGACAGTAAATACAAAGTCTAAGCCAAGAATAAGTGGAAGTCCAAGGAGTAGTGGGCATCCCAGCAGGATGATAGGATACAGTCATGGGAAGCGAAAGGCAGAAGACAGGTCAGTGGAACCTGAATAATTCTGACTACAGGTAGAAGGACCTCTTTCTCTAAACATAGTAGCCCTGATCATGAGAAGGTGACTTTCAAAGCCCAGACCTGGCAGATGACTGAAAGTCAATGCAGAATGTTAGAATGGGAACATGGGTCAGAAGCAGAGAGTCCTTCCTATGAACCAGAGCCCATATAAAGGAAGAGACTAGGCCTTAAAATCCGTATTCTTATTGTTATATTGGTAATAGAGAAGGAATACTATAATCCAGACACATTATGTCTTGGATAAGTTTAATTATTATGGTGCTTAACTCAAAAGCATACACCTCAATTATTCCATCCTTATTACTCCTTGACTGGATGCATCTAAAGGCATATCTCAAGCAAATGGTAGAAAATTGTTACAAATGGCTGATGGCTATAAATAAAGGGGACCTAAAACAATCACACATCCAAACATATTTTAAGAGGAATTCTTGGATGGAAAGCAGGGGGTGGGATGGGGTACACATTCAGGGAGTCTTCTTAATTTCTTTCTGTGGAATAAGTATGTAGTATTACATTGTTGTTGGTGTCTCTTTAGAGCTTGCTTTAAAAGTAT